CGAGTCGAGCAGCCCTTCAGTGTACCGTGAGAGGAGGCTGGTGCTTTTAGATCCACGACTTTGAGAGGTGAGCACCGACAGCCTCAGCCTAGCACCGCACAATCTGTTGAAGAAAAGCTGCCAAATGTCGAGGCTACGAGAGTTTATTTCGCTTGCCCCAAGGAGGGATGCACAAAGACATATCAGTCTTTTGCAAATCTGCAGAAACACATGGACGTTGGAAAACACCTTGTGAGATTAGAGAGAGAAACTACATATGACAGCATCAAGAGAAAATGAGCCGAGACGTGCAAGGAGGTGTCTGGAAGCTACATACACAAAGAAACAGGGTCGAGCTCCCAAACGGCCTGTGCTGATCCCGCATGTGAAGTTGCTAAAGGATGGGCTCTGAAAACATCACGAAGAGCAACTCGCTTTTCCGAGAAGGTGAAGACATATCTAAAAAGAACATTCCTGGAAGGCGAGGAGACAGGGAGAAAGCAAAGTGCTGTGGATGTGTGCAGCAAGATGAAAACTCTGCGTGATGGTAATGGCAGGAAAATGTTCAATAAAGAAAAGTGGCTTGTTGCTGACCAAATAGCTAGGTACTTCAGCAGATTGTCTGTGATGTACAGAAGTGGCCGACTAGCCATAGACCAGGCTGATCCGAGTCCTGCTCAGGATGAGGAGGAGGACTTTGTTGCAGAGGCAGAAGAGATCTCAACCAGGTTTGAAATTCGAAGGCAGCTGGAATTATGACACAACGAATAAGTCAATCACATATGTAATATTCTCTCTACTACTTCTTACCGTCCTTCCAGGAGCTTCTGGATGCCAAGCATATATTTACTTAAAGTTTATAATTTCTCGAAAAAGTATCCTGGCTCGCAGCTCTGAATCCGATCCCACTGTTTTGTTTTGTTTTGTTTTGGTTTCCTTTAACTTCGAAAAAACTTACATCTCGACATGGTGATTTCAATTCAATAATGAAAAATAGAGGTCATAGGACTCGCTTTTTAATTATTAGCAAGTAAAGCTGAAATTAAGGTGTTTTTGATAGGTTACTTCGTTGTCATGGTAAGATATAATTTCAAGATAGAATAGTCATAATTTGTTTACCAACAATAGGCAATTCTTATTGCTTTATATTTTTTTACTCTAATCTATTGATGCTCGAAACTGTTGTACCACATTCATTTTAGCCATTTTGAGGAGCTATCTGTCTTGGACACTACAACACGATCGCATTTCTATTTCTATCCAGAGAAATTTGTTAAATGATTTGCCAAAATATTGCTATCATACCGGCGTAGAGCTATCCGTCACTAATTAAACCATCCAGCACATTCCTTTAGGTACTTAAATGACATACTGTACTTATAAAACAATAATACAACATCAAAATGTTTTGACAAAACCGTTACACTTATATTTTCAATCCCAAGAGATAGAGCTCGAGTAGTTGTTGGAGACTGGATATCATAGTCTGATGTTACTTCGTGTCAGACAAATTCTTGCTTTTCAGCAGTTAATCCCAATGAGTTGACAAAACTGTGAATATAATCCAGAATAATCTGACAAACAAACCCTTGGGCAAGGCTCCTTTAAAATTACGCAGCTTGGTTACGTCATATCCTAACCAAACAATCCACTAATTCCTGCTTCTCAAAAATAGTTGCTCTACATGCTATCATTCACTATGATGCTATACATTGGGTTTTCACTTATCACTGACATCAGCTAGGTATTGCATTCCATGGCATAACCCTCCTCAATCATGAAATATATTTTCACGAGATTGTCACCGTGACAATATCGTGGAAAATGCTGGTATGTTGATTTAAGAGGTTTAAAGAGGTGTCCAACCGTAACCGTGATTTGTTTGGCAATATTTTCAATAACAATGAAATTGTCTCAAACCGTCAAACAAGCCTTAAGGATTTGCAAAACAAGAGAGAGTGACCCAGCATCTGCCTTGGTTCCCGAAACTGTCAGCAAGCTGACAATTTAGAATGCAAGCCGCCGGTGGGCGAATCGTGATAAACCCAGCGTTCAAAGACTGGGTTTACGAAGGCGAGAAGCCCGATTTCAGTGTCACCCCCGTAAAAAGGCAGATCACGTATCATGTGGAAGAAGAGATTGGCACCACTGGAACTAAACATGATTCATGGAAGCAGAAAGAGTCTCACAGACAGGTCCACTTTGAGACAGCTAAGCCCGCTCAAGGATCAAATCGTGCATTGCTGACGCTATTGAGCATTGTGTGTTTGATCTCAATCGCGGCTCTTGTGCTCACAATATTAATGGTATTTGGGAAAATCGACGGCGGATGTGGATCCTCCGCAAACGAAGGTTAGTAGATACGAGTGGCCGAGATATATAGACCGATAAACAAGCAAATAGATCACGACTTAGCAATACTGCTGCATACCAGTTTATAAGGTATGTTTTCGTTATTCATGCAGCTTTTTTCTAACCACTCGAGTTAGTATTTTTTTCTTTATTTCTGATTTTTTTTTTTCATCCCTTAAAGATTTTAAAACGATCTTTGATTAATATCACTATTTTCCAACATTTCTGTACATGTCAAATGAAAATGATAATCTGATAATAACAATAATAAAAAAAACATAGAACCAACGGAAACTGACTAGAAATGTTAATCGCTGAGTTTATATCCTATGATACCCAATATAATGAATCAGCTTTAATTTTATCGTGCTTCTTTGCTTGATGTCGTGTTTCAAACAAGAAAACGAAACATCTAAAAAATACACATTGTCCAAACTTCACATTCCTCTTTCTCAGAGACTGACAATAAAATAGGTTGCGAATATCAAGTTTTTTTTAATAATACGAAATTATTTTGAGATCACGCAAATGATACTGTTTTGATTACGTCACTATCTGATCACACTAGAAAACAGTTAATAAGCGTGCATTTAATCATTTACAACAGTTTATTTGAGCATCTGTCGCTTTGAGAGAAGGATTTATGCTTGAAGATAATGTGAACTCCATATCTGCTTTATTTCTGATACCATAGTTAAAAAAGACCGCGTTAGATCAAGTCATAATCAAAACAAAAACATGATACCATAGTTCCAACAGTGATAAAGTTATTTTATTGTGCCGTCTCTTTTGAATTTCTTATTTTTAATGGTAAACCGGTCGTGGAGCCGCCATTATGAAATGATCAATGTATCAATTGTGCGAATGAGACAGAAGAAACTCGGTATGGTTTCTTATTAACTTGATGACAACGTGCTCCGAACAGGTAATCAGTTACACAACGGCTTCCGAAAACTAATAAATTTAGACCTCGCAGAGGCAAACAAAAGCTCAATGGCAATCCTTTACACGACTCCGTTAATCTACTTCAATCATACAATAGGCAGTGGAATGTTAAAATAGTCATTTTTATTGGAGCCGGAGATTGAATGACGTATTTTCAGGGTTCTATTTAGCGTAGATGTCATTACAGATTTTGCTATGCCCAACAAAAGTCGTCCGTTCCGGTCTTTCTGACAAAATAAAATTAAAAATGCAAAGTTTTACATCTATTTCGTACTTGTTTGTGTTTAATCCTTGTTTTTCATACCGTCTGAATGTTTGTTGCAAGAAAAATGAATACAAACATACCTTTTATTTATCCTCGGTCGGTGCATAGTAGGGCCGAGCAAAACAAATAACAAATAAACATAAAAAGGTTTCAAAAAGACTCAACTGGTAAGTTGGCTGTTCAAAGTCACAAACGACGCCGACGGTTTGAACTCTGATCTACCATGAAACAACGTAACTCCAGCTTGTGGTCTGAACGGGACTTGAACCCGCGACTTCCGGATTTCAAGTTTAGTTAAGCTCCCTCCTCCTTGTTGCTATTGTTTTTACTTTGTAAAAACAACAAGAAGACGATGTTTTTCAGAAAATCATGTTTGTCGGGCATGGTTTGATTTATTCTCTTACCCTTCATAACATCATGTCTTGACTAAACGAAACAAGTGAAACAAAACGAATCGGAACGGGAAAGGTGTAAAACTGAAAAACGGATTTCAAACATGGCATGTAATAATGGTGGAAACACCATATGCATAGATTAACCTTCGAAACTTCAATTTTCGGAAACCATCGCAACAATAATTTTCACTCACATCATACTGTTTGCCTTTTTCATACTTTTATTCTTACACTCTTCCTAATCATAGCTACATGTACGTATGTCCGTCTAAATGATTGATTCCCAGTTCTAGATTTCTCTTACTGATGACGGTTTTTAAGAGAAAGACGTAGCCGTCGACTTAGCAGTGGACAACCTTAAATTAGCATTCCTTTCCTGCGTTAAAGCTCTTACCTGAAAAATAAGCTCTTAAGTCATTCCTCACATTTGCATTGCGCATCCTTACTGCGCATAATTTATGGCGTCATTAGCGCGCGTTCGGGCGCGCGCATATTGAAAACATGACGGATTTGCCTTGATATTGAGCTCTGTCAGTTGAAAAATGGCTCTAGCTCACCAACGAGCACGGGCACCCCAATTTTTTTTCCAGTCATTGTAATCAACTAATCATAAGCTTTGCGTGAGAAAAGACTGATCTAATTTCTATTGCTGAAAATTGAATAAATAAGAAAAATAACAGGTACACTGTGGTCTTTTCTATTTTGCAGTCGGTAACCACGTCAAGAAATTTGGTTCAAATTTTTAATCTAGGATTTAACTTTCTGCCTGAATTAAACTTAAAATGTTTATTTGTGTCCGACACAATGTATTGACTGTAGTTTAATGCGTGTTCTTTTGAGCCTGGGTTCACAAAGATCTTACAATTACTGGGAATGCGTTCTTATAATAAGCATTAAATAATGCCAAAATGGGGTATTTTCAATGCCTCACTGCTCCTTAAGGAGCATGGGCACCCCCCTTTTTTATTTCAAAATTGAAGTTATCATATGACAAATATTCAGTGGACAAAGTTTGAACAAAAATATATTGTCACTTTTATTTCAGAGGAATTAACTTAAACTCACCAGAAATTCATACCTCTACGAGTGAAAATGCTAGTTATCTCAGTGACAAACAAACAAGAAGCGGAGAACAAAAATCCTCAAAGAAGAGCTTACATAACTTGAATATTGACAATAAATTTCGTGAGCGTCTATGGTGATCAGAGCAGTATTAAAATAAAAAAAAGTGGGCACAAAAGAGATTTTTCCTTTCTATTTCCTGTATGTTTGAATTCTAAAGAAAGTACGGTCTTACGTGTAGATATCAGTCTTTCCTCCCTTCATTTTCTTAAGAGTATAATAATCAACGGCTCATCAAGAATGTGAAGTTGATCTTTTTTTCTTTTAGCCTCCCCTATAAGTCTTACGACAGGTTCAGAGAGTGAAGTGTTAGCTAGGATCAAGCTCCTTCAGGAAAACGTCACAAGCCTCCAACTGGGTTTGGTAAGAACATGCGTCAGAGTGCTTTTTGTTATGTCTCAAATAGCCTAAGGGTTCCACCAGCGCCAACTTCCCTTCCTTCCGAGAGTGCGACAAAGACGGCAAGAGCTAGCGATCACGTGTTTCAAAGGCTAAATATGTCCATTGTCAATTAGAACTGATACGGCTGCCGAGTTTCCTTTATAACTAATTACAAGCTTTTTCACATGGTAACGAAAAGATTTTAGTTAAGTGCTAACTGTATCATACGTGCATACAACAATCATACAAAAACCCAGGGAACTGTATGAGTTGAGCCAAATTAAACGACTGTTACAACTGGCTTTTAAGTGTGCGGGCCTGCTAATTGTTAGCCACACATGAAAGAATCAATCCACTTTCATTCTTATGCTCGTTCGTAGGCAGAGAAAACCAATGAGCTCAAAGAAATTCGTTCATCCCTCCAAAATCTTGAAGAAAAATGCAACAATCTATCAATGAAGGTACGTGCATTTCTATTTAATATCTAGCGTATCAGATGTTTGTTTTTGGTTGTTGTTGTTTATGATCTTCTTTTCCGTATCGTCATGAATCAAAGTTGGAATTTACTTGACCGCGAGACATAAATTCAAGACGTAATAACAATTTATTGTCTTGTTAGTATTCTTTAGATAGAATCGACTGAAGTTAAACTTCAAACAGCAGATGATTTAAACTATGATCGCCTTCAAAGAACTATTAGAAACGAGACGTTAACTATTCTTTATAAGGTAATCATGAAACATTTAGCATTTGCACTGAGGGAATATCAGCTGGTGAAAGTTTGAGCTGAATAAGGAGGCGTGGAATCCTGGAGTGTTATTTCTTAAAACCAAATATTTGTCAAGTCTGCGCAGGAAATTTATTCAACTTTGGAGGTCCGGATTTCAAATCTCTTGGACGCCACTCCTGAAAAACTCCCGCACAAAGCGATCGAGATTTCCAAAAAAGATATGTCGAGTCGAAAATTTCTATTTTATTTTCTGAAAATACCCGGATATTCCTGAGAACTTTCTAGAGGTCCTCTGGAGGTCAGAATGTCTCTGATCAAGAGCAATTCCACGCTGATTCCTGTTATTTGTTGTTTCGTTTCATCTACTCTACTTTGGTTAGGCTTAATTTAATTTAGCTTACCCTCAGCTTAGCTTTGCCAAAGGTTCGCCTGAGCCAACATAAGCTTAGCTAGAAATAGTTGCTTTTGTTTCCTTGTAACAAAGTTTGCTCACCATGCGCAGTAGGTCAAAACTTTGTTTGGGAATTTAGACATGTGTAACAGAATTTCTGATCGGGGTCTCTATTTCCCTTAGTTCTTTTTTCTAATTGCCGTTTGGACTATTGTAGTTGAACGTGACCGAAAGTCAACTCCAGATGAGTGACAGCGATTTAGCNGTAAATTCAAGACGTAATAACAATTTATTGTCTTGTTATTTTTCTTTAGATAGAATCGACTGAAGTTAAACTTCAAACAGCAGATGATTTAAACTATGATCGCCTTCAAAGAACTATTAGGAACGAGACGTTAACTATTCTTTATAAGGTAATCATGTAACATTTAGCATTTGCACTGAAGAAATATCAGCTGGTGAAAGTATGAGCTGAATAAAGAGGCGTGGAATCCTGGGGTGTTATTTCTCAAAACCAAATATTCGTCAAGTTGGCGCAGGAAATTTATTCAACTTTGGAGGTCCGGATTTCAAATCTCATGGACGCTACTCCTGAAAAACTCCCGCTCAAAGCGATCGAGATTTCCAAAAAAGATATGTCGAGTCGAAAATTTCTATTTTATTTTCTGAAAATACCCGGATATTCCTGAGAACTTTTTAGAGGTCCTCTGAAGGTCAGAATGTCTCTGATCAAGAGCAATTCCACGCTGATTCCTTTTATTTGTTGTTTCGTTTCATCTACCGTACTTTGGTTAAGCTTAATTTAATTTAGCTTAACCTCAGCATAGCTTTGCCAAAGGTTCGCCTGAGCCAACATAAGCTTAGCTAGAAATAGTGACTTTTCGTTTCTTTGTAACAAAGTTTGCTCACCATGCGCAGTAGGTCAAAACTTTGTTTGAGAATTTAGAAGTGTGTAACAGAATTTCTGATCGGGGTCTTTATTTCCCTTAGTTCTCTTTTCTAATTGCTGTTTGGATAATTGTAGTTGAACGTGACCGGAAGTCAACTCCAGATGAGTGACAGGGATTTAGCTTCTTCTCTTCAAGAAACAAGGCTCAATCTGACCACAAAGGTTTGGTCCATTGCACTCTTGCAACAAAATGTAGAATTCTGCTTTTAACCTTTTCTGCTCTCTAAGGATTGTGCTTCTGACAACGGTAGAAATCTACTCTTAACTGTTTTGTTTACAACTACACTTTATGAATGTGTTCTGTTCTTTTGTTGATGTTGCTGTCGCAATTAGCGTTGTCGTTACTGTTGGTATTGCCTGAACACGCTGAGGATTAATTGCTTATTTACTTCTGTTTCTATTATTTCTCGACATAATTAAAACAATTTTGCAGTTGTTGGACTCCGAACAGAAATTACAAAGTTCCATTGAGAACACGAATCGAACGCTGGACGAGAAGGTAACACGACTTTTGTGTTCAAGATTTGTACATCTAAAAACCTTTTTAGTTATTTAATTGTATAAAATGTTGATCATATAATGTACCCTGTGATTGATTGTATGATCATTTTGTATGGAGCCACCTTAAAGTTCACATCCGCAACGCATCGATCAAACGCAAAAATTTAACGCCAGTCCCTTTTTTTTTTTTCTTTTTTTTTTTTGTGACCTCGACGGCTGTAAGTGTTTGAAGCGAAAATGTCCACGACACTTGAAAGAAAAGAACGGAGCTAAACCGAATGAAAGATCGCAAGACTAGATGGACAAAAATTATCATTTTTTAATGCATTTCCAGCGTACAAAGCTTACCTATTAGTTTTCAATCACTCTCTTAACTTTTAGCTCGATCTACCTTATGATTCAATATTCGTACAAGTATTTCCTAAGAGTATATACTTGTTACTAACCTCGTCTTCTCGGTCCGTACTGTAAGTTACGGATCGAGTTTTTCCCCCATCGATTTATAGCCCAAGCACGAGGCGCCTGATGGGTTCGGGAACGATTTCTATCCACACGGAACGTCCGGCTTCAGATTTCTCACGCACCTCGAAAGCAAAGCGAACTAATTTGAAATCGTTTTTAAGTCGTTAGCACGCTTTGATATACAATTTAGAGTATAAGAAAGTTTTCAACTTTTACTTGCTATAAAAGTTAAGAACGCTTGACGATAAATCACGGAATGGCAACAAAAATAACTTTAAATTTCATGCGGGCCGTACAGGAGAACACGGCCCGCTAAATTGACCAATCACAACGCGCGTACTAACTGAGAGATATAATAATTTAAAATATCCCTACAAGTATCCTATTGTAGTCAACGTCCAACACGCTACTTGGCTTTAATCGATAAGACGAAATATGCAATTTAATGAGTGCGAACAAAGCGATGAAAAGGGAGCGGTTGCTACAAACAAAATAAATTACAAGTTATAGACGAATA